ACCACCTCCTTCCAGAACCAGGCCTTCCAGTACGAGTTCGGAGCCATGTACGCGTGGATGCTGTGCATCTTCACCGTCATCATGGCCTACAGCATCACCTGCCCCGTCATCGCTCCGTTCGGTGAGTGGGGGGGCCGGGGAGGGGGGCTGAGCCCATGGAGCCCCGCACACCCAGGACTTCCTGCAGCCACCCTGTTGCCAGCATCTGGCAGCTACCGCCTGGCTCTCAGGTGACGAGTGGGTGCGCTCCACTGGGTGTCGCACATACCGCTCAAATGGTCCAACGAGGCATGTCTCGTTTGCGTCCCCTTTTCACACTCAGTGTGACGTGAGTGAGGAGTAGACCTAGGGTTTGAGCTGAGGACTGTTTGACTTTAAATCTGAGGTCTTGCAACTAAGGTAAACATTAGGAACTGCAGACAGATGGAAGATTCTAGAAGGAAATAGAACACCCAGCAGACTGTTGGCAACGACAGCTGAGGTTTAGGGGTGGGAGGAGGTTTTAGTTTTCTGTTTACTCTTGAACTATTTAAAAACATCAACAGTATTACTTTCTTTTTTTAATGTTTATTTTTTTTTTGAAGACAGAGCATGAGTGGGGGATGGGCAGAGAGAGAGGGGGATACAGAATCTGAAGCAGGCTTCAGGCTCTGAGCTGTCAACACAGAGCCTGACGCAGGGCTTGAACCCACAAACTACGAGATCATGACCTGAGTTGAAGTTGGACGCTTAACCGACTGAGCCCCCCAGGTGCCCCAACAGTATCACTCTTTAAAAACAAAACAGGGGCACCTGCCTGGCTCTGTCGGTGGAGTGTGTGCCTCTTGATCTCAGGTGTTGAGTTCAAGCCCCATGGTGGCTATAGAGATGACTTAACAATAAAACCTTAAAAAATAAAAAATAAAAACAAACCCATTTTTTAGAGAACATGACATGATAGAAGCACATGCACCTTCTGGGCCAGGACCCTGGGGCACCTGCTGACTGCTGAGTGCAGAGGGTCAGCTGGGGCTGGGAAGGGACGGATGGATGGTGGGGGGCTCCCGTGGGAGGGCCCCGGGGAGAAGTCGGGGCCCGGCATCGACGGACAAAGTAGCTTCTTTCTGCAAAATGATCCTAGAATTTCTGTTTTCCAGGGACAGAATCACAGCCACCTTTACTCCTTGGGGTCAGGGGGAAGCCAGGAGCGGGGAGGGGAGAGAGCGAGCGAGCACACACAAGCAGTCATGATGTGCATTAAGCCCCACTTTGCCTTCGTGTAGTCAGATGGCAGACCCGGCCCAGGATCCACGGACAAATCGCTACCGCCAGGGGGAGGGGGAGAGGGGAGGGAGGGGGAGGGGGAGAGGGGAGGGAGGGGGATGGGGGAGGGGGAGAGGGGAGGGAGGGGCCCAGGTGGCCTTGCGCCCCCCCGCCCCCCCCCCGGGCTTGCCACTCACACCCCATCTCTGCAGGCCTCATCTACATCCTGCTCAAGCACCTGGTGGATCGGCACAACCTCTACTTTGCCTACCTCCCAGCCAAGCTGGACAAGAGGACCCACTTAGCGGCCGTCAACCAGGCCTTGGCCGCCCCCATCTTGTGCCTCTTCTGGCTCTATTTCTTCTCCTTCCTGCGCCTGGGTGAGGAGGGGCCCTCGGACCAGGGCGGGGCGGACCGGGCCCTCGGCCTCCTACTTCCGCGCCCACGCCAGCCATTCAAACAGCATCCGACTTGGTGTCCAGTCAGAACGCGGTACCCAGGGTGGGGGCTGGGTGGGGACAGCAGGACAACCCGGTTTCTGAGCCCGTGTGACCCTGGTGGAGGCCACGTGGCTCGAGGAGCCTTAGGGAGGCAGGCCCTTTGTGAGCTCCGCAGGGGCCGAGGAGCAGGGCGGGTCCAGATTGCGCCTGGGGGAGGGGGGAGGAGGTAGGCGCTTGCAGGATGAAAAACAGACACTCTGCGGCAAAAGAAAAAGGCAGAGGGGACGCGACGGCGCCAGGGGCGTGGGGGGGCCTCCGTCCCGCCTGGCCCAGGACGCTGGAGCCCTGAGGGAGCTGAAAGCAAGTTGGCCCGTGCCATGGGCTTGGTGTCCCAGTGCCTGAAATCCGACCAGGGGCCGCGCCAGTGGGTCCCCCTGCTTCCGCCTACGAAGATACCATCCCAGCTGGCGGGGGGGGGAGGGGGGGCTCTTCTCTTTCCTTTCTGCTGGAGGGGGAGGCCACGCATGGTTCCTGTGCCAGACGTGGCCCCTCGTCCCCCACCAAGGCTGGCGTCCCTGTGTCCCCAGGTGTGAAGGCCCCCCTCACCCTGTTCACCTTCCTGGTCGTGCTGCTCACCATCCTGGTGTGTCTGGCCTACACCTGCTTTGGATGCTTCAAGCACCTCCGCCCTCTCAACTACAAGGTAGGGGCCCCTCGGCCCGGCGCACGGGGGTGGGGGGGGAGAGGGTGGGTGCACTCTTGGCGCCACCACGGCCTCAGCTCCGTGGGGAAGGCCTGGTGCTTGGGCACGCCATGCGGCTTCCTCCCCGCCCCTTCCCTGCGCCGCCGGCCCCATCCCCTGCTCTGCTGGGAGCCTGGCGCCAGCTGGTCCTATTATCCGGGTGTTACTAGTCTTTGTGTTTGGAGGGGGTGCGTCCGGGGGGGTGGCTTTGCTTCTCATTGCGAGTTTCCGCTGTTGTCTGTAGACAGAGGAGTCGGCCGGTGACAGAGGGAGCGAGGCCGAGGCCCACAGGCCACCACCGTTCACGGTGAGTGTCGGTGTCTTCCCCGAGCCACAGGCCGAGCCTCTCATGTCCTGACAGAAGGGCCTTGACCACGTGGCGGCCACGTTTCTGAATTAGAGTCATGCGAGAGAGCATCCCGAGTCCCACGGGCCGCTTCCCCTCTGGTCGCTTATTGCCCACCTCCCTTCTCGGCATGGCTACTGCCTGCTGCGACTGGGTGTGCCAAGGCCCTGTGGCTGAGGAAGCTTGGGCAGGATCGAGGGGTTCAGCAGTGCCTGCTGTGTGAAGCCTCCAAGGTCCTGCTCTGGTCCCAGCCAGAGCCAGGGCGGGGACAGAAACCCCTGTCCTCCGCAGCCTTCTCTCCAGCCGGTGCTGCCTGCCTGGTCAAACACTCTGATGGGCTTGTGTCCTTGGACCAGCCCCAGGGAGAAGGTTCTCAGGGTCACTAGCCAGAAAAGGAGGAGGCAGGCAGATGGATGGCAGAAGTGCCTTTCTCAGCCTGGCTCGGGGGGGGGGGGGGGGGGGGGGGGGGGGGGGGGGGGTGGGGGAGGACTCTGTGCCCGGACCCTGCTCCAAGCGCTCATACCCTCCCCTCCCCTCCCCCCTGCATATGCCGGCAGCCCTACATACCCCGGATTCTGAGCGGCATGTCCTCGGAGAGAACAGTCCTGTCCCCACAGCATCAGCAGACTTATGGCGCCGTCTGTGACATCAGTGGGACTGTCCTAGGGCAGTGTCCGACCCAGGCCCTTGCAGACAGTGACAGCAGCCCAGCTGCCTACCAGGAGGCCTGAGGGCGGCCGGGCCAGGCTCCGAGGAGGGACAGGAGCAGACCCAGGTGGAAAAGCGGCTTGACTCCGGCCCCAGCTAAGCCCAGGACTACTTTGCTCTTGTTTGAAGCACACTTGCTCTGGAGAGATGGACCCAGAAAGGTGCCCCTGCCCTTGGCCGGGGAGGACAGGGCAGGCTGCCACCACGCAGGAGTGTGGCCTTTCTGGTCACAGCAGTGGGAGGGGAGCGGGCGGAGCAATGCGTGCTGGGAACTCTGTGTCTCCAGGTCCCCCCTGCAGCTGAACACCTCCCTGGTGACGTAGCAGGACCACATGTGGGAACGGTGCCCCGCAGCCTGGTTCTGCTGCCCCAGGTACCAGGGAGGACACAGTGGAGGACGTCTCCCCTCCGGGCAGGCACTGCCCACGCTTCCAGGCACACGCTCCGCTAACTGATAACCAAAGAGCCTGTGGCAGCTCTGGAGACCGGGTCGCCGTGCTGGTTGGGGTTCATTCAGGGCACTCCCCTCCTCCCCCTGCCTTTGCGGCATGCAGCCATCTCCCAGCTGTCCGAGGGCTCCGCTGCAGGAGCGGGAAGGGACCGGGTCAGGGCCGGGCTGCATGCACCCTCCACAGTCACACTGTGGTTCCTTGTTTCTGTATCACGTTGCTGGTGACACAGGTTGGGTCAGGGTCACCCTGCAGCAGGCAAGGGCAGGAGGACCACGAATAAAGTGCTCATTCAGCCGGACTACATCTACTGAGGCTGGGGTGGGGGAGCAGTGCCTAGGGCGTCCTGGAGCCAGGGGGAAACGGCGCAGGGCAGTGGAGAGGAGGAGGGGGTGTCTGCCCTTAGCTTGACCATGCACCACCTTTAAGCTGTGATCTTGCCTAGAAGGACAGGTGGCCCCTTGTCCTTTTTTCTTCCCATGCGACAGGGACACGGCTCTGGACACCTGCCAGAATAGCAGCCTCCCACTGCCTCTAGGAGGCACCAGGGGGCCGTGTGTGTGGTGTGGTGTGGTGTGTGTGTGTGTGTGTGGTAGGGGGAAGGGGGGATGGCTCTATCTTGCAGGGATGGGACTGGGGGTGGAGCTCCATCCTGCAGGGGAGGGGCGGGGGGGCTCCATCTTACAGGGGTGAGGCTGGGGGGTGGAGTTCCATCCTGCAGGGATGGGGCTGGAGGGGTGGGCTCTGTCCTGAAGGGGTGGGGCTGGGCTCCATCCTGCAGGGGCAGGGCCAGGAAAACTGCAGGGGCAGTGCTGGAGGGTGTGGGCTCCGTCCTGCAGGGGCGGGGCTGGCGATGGTCCATCCTGCAGGGGTGTGGCATGGCCCAGGGCTCCTTAGACCCCCCCCCCACCCCTGTACCGCCCAGCCTCAGGCCCTGCGCAGTGCTTCCTCTAGGTGCCCAGGACACCCAGCAAGGGTCGAGTGGGGGCTCCCTCCCTACCCCAGACTGCACACCTGCCAGCTCTCCTGGGAGGGGACCCCACGTGGGGCCGAGACAAGCACACGTCACCTGGTTCCAGGTGCTCTGAGAACTAACATCATTTATCAGCATCCATGTGCACAGAGCATGGGACCCCCCCCACCGCGCGCAGGGGAGGGGGAATACATCTGAGGGCCGCACCGGGGGGCCGAGGGCTTCCAGGTCAAGGGGCTGATGGGGAGGGGGCCTGTCGCTTTGTTCAGAGGCACAGCCGTCGCCCCCCCCCCCGGCATCACTGCAGCTCGAGCAGCCCCACGAACTTGCGGATGTCCTGGGCCAGCAGCTCTGGCTCCTCAAAGGCGGCGAAATGGCCCCCGCGGGGCATGTAGGAGTAAGACACAAGCTTCCGGTACTTACTCTTCACCCACTTCTCCGGCGCGTGCAGCAGTTCGCACGGGAAGGCGGCGAAGCCGGTGGGCACGGACACCTTGATTCTGGAAGGGACAGATCCCACCGAGGAGTGAGGTTGCATCCTGGTCACCTTCTTCCCCCCCACTCCCCCAGCAGGGAGCTCAGGGACCGTGGTGGGGGGGTGGTGGGACCAGAGGTCAGAGCCAGAGTTTTAACCACCCTAATTCCGACCCACCAAGGGCCTTCCTTCTAGAAAGGCTGGCCAGGCTGGCGAACAGGGCTGGGTGGGATGAGGCGGTCTCTAACTCCCCACGGGGTTCCCCTTTCCCTCTGCGGCCACCTGTGGGTCTCTGTGAGATTCCAAGGGGCTCCTGGGGGGTTCCAGAGCCAGGCCTGCCACAGCTGGCTGCCCGGGCCTCCCTGCGTGAGCTAGTTCTAAGGGCGCACGATTTCTCCCAGCGCCCCCCACCCTCGCCGTGACCTTAACCTTCATTCTCATGCTGGGCACCCTGTGCACCCCCATAAACTTCGTTCTCAGGCGGGGCACACTCGTCCGCCATCAAGCGTCCGCCCTCGGATGCTTGTGTCGCGGCTCCCGGCCCTGGAGGCCCCTCGGCTGGGTTCCCCGCGCGGCTGTGCCCGGCTCACCGATCAGACTTGAAGAGCTGCCCCGCGTTCTCCTTGTAGAAGCGCTGGGAGGAGGCAATGGTACCTGTTGTCCAGTAGAGCATGACGTTGGTCAGAAGGTCGTCCAGGGAGAACTTTCTGTGAAAGCGGAACCAGAAGGCCACTCAGTGCCCGGTGCACCTGGGAGGGCGGCTTTCAGGCCTCGTTTCCCCCTCAGACCTCACCGCAAAGCTGCGGCATCACCCCTGCCACACAGGCAGGCCCTGACCATAGGTGACGCAGCTTGCCGACCGTGCAGGAGGCAGGCCACGTCGTCGCCCTGGCTGGTGCCGGCCCGCACCCCCACCCCCTCCACAGTGGTCCCACCTGGGCAGGAAACAGCAGGCGAGGTCAACTGAGCCCAGGGGCTTTGGGCTGTCACCACTAGGTGCCTGGAGGTAGGTGCCCACCCCTGGGCCCTCAGGACAGGCCATCCGTAGACCATCCCCAGGTGGGCTCGCTGTGAGGGCCTGGGCAGGACCAGGTCTCCAGGCAGCTTCCAGAGCCCCTGGACCCACCTGACATTGGCCATGAGTTTCCCACCAAGCTTGTGTCACTGTAGGAGGGAGAACCCCCCACACACAGCATGGGACACCCCTTTAATTTCTCAGCCTGGGGCTGTGGGGCTCCACACTAGGGGGAGGAAGAGCCATTTGGTTCTCACTGTTGGCATCACAGACCAAATGAAGCCCCACGTTCTCTGGGCCCCTCCTGCCCCTCAGGCTCTCTCCCCCTGCCCTGTGTCCAGAGCCCCTTGGAGGCCTCCATGGCCTCCCCCTGGCCAGCTGCTGGTGTCCAGTAGGTGTGCCCTCTGGGAGTCCACCTCTGCCCGGTGGCCCCCCATCCAGCCTCCAGCCCTCACCTCTGGGAGAACGTCCACCGCACAGACCGCTAGCTTCACACCCTGCCCCCAACTCCCTACCCCTCCACTCCCCGCTCCCCACTCCCATGACACCCTTCCAATGCCCTCGGCCCTGCGCCCTCTGCCACCCAGACCCACCTGCTGGTCCACAGACCCCAGGGGTCTCCAGCTCTGGGGACGGGTCCCGACCCTCCATGTGGTGTGTCACGATGGTCACGTGCCACCCACAGCCCCCACCTTGCCAGCCTTCCTGAGGAAGTCCAAGTCCACGGAGAGCTCCTCTCATGCCGTCCCTATTCCATTCCAGACGTGGGGGCGTAGGAGAGCTCTTGCCTTCTTGTCGGGGTCCCCATCCCTCCATCTGCCTCCTGGGGTCCCAGTCTCCCTCCTCTGCCCACAGTCTGGTGTCCAATGCCACCCAGCCTGCCTTGCCGCCTCCTCTCCCTGCCCCGTGCACCCCCGCATGCCTGGCACCCCATCCCATCCCCCTGCCCGGGCATACCCCACCCCTCCCCATGTCCCCGCCCCCACCCCTCTCCCATGCCCCAGCATCCCTCCACCCCTCTCCCCTGCCGCTGCCCCCCGCCCCCGCAACCGTCCACCCACACTCGACCTTCTCACTGCGTTCTGTCCCACAGACCTCCCTCCTGTCCTCCTACCGCAGCTAGTAAGCCGGGGGTCCCCCTAGCACCCCCGCAGGCTGCCCCACCCGCACTGATGCTAACTGCTAATCTCCCCCTGATCACGGGGTCGTTTCCTCCCACTGGACCCCTCCCCGGGCTCAGATCTCAGTCCTGTTACCCAGTGGACACCCCGCACCCAGCACGTCCATGACGGAAGCACGCTCTGCCCGGCCCCCCGCGGACACGCCACGCCCCCACGGACGCAGGTGCATGCGCACACGCACACCTCGAGGCACCCCTTCTCCGCCTCCCGGGCCACCTCCCTCTTGCCCCGGCTGTCTCCCTCCGGGAGGCGGCCCTGCCGTGTCACCGCTGCCGGGACTGCGGAAACCGAGGCTCTGCCCCCGCTTGGCTCTCCGGCTCGAGGGCAGTGAGTTTAGCTGGTGAACCCGAAGCCACAAACAACTTGTTTGTGTGGCTCCTTAGAAGCAGTCGGCCAAGTACATTTTTATCCTCAGCACCACATTTTAAGGAACGTTCGAGTCACCCCTGCTTTGCTCCCAACCGGTACAGCTGGCGACAGTGACGGGGCAAGGGAGGGTGTCAACATTCAATACGAAAACAGGAAGGATTTGGGGGAAAAAGGCTTCTCCAAAATAGTGAACGTATTCATCAGGCATTTTCATTTCTAGAAGTACATTCTTTTTAGTCTCTAGCAACAGCGGCTCGGAGCAGGAACGAGACAAGGCGAACCTCCTTTGAATGCTATTTTGATGACAGAATGGAAAGGGGTCAGTGGGGCCCGAATGGTTAGAAACACACCTAAACCCTGTGAACTGGGCTTTTATCGAGGTGGCTAAGAGCCCCCATGTTCCCTCAGCTCTGAGCGCAGCTTGAAAACGACCAGCACACCCATCTCTGGCCTACTGCAGTCAATGATCTTTCTAGAACACAGAGCTGATCGCATCTGCCCCCTGCTCCAAGCTTTGGTGCCCCGGGGAGCTGGGCAGTAGCCGAAGCAGGTGGTCCAGCCCAGGGCGGTCCGGTGGGGGCCCTCGTCTGGCTGCGGGCACTGGTGGGCAAGGAACAGGGCCACCTCCTGGTAGAGCCCTGTCACCCCCGGGTCCTCTCCAACGTGGAGTGGGGAACAGATCCGGGGTGAGGGCTCATGCATGGGGTCACGGCCTAGTGACTAACCCTTGTACCTGTCCCAACCCTCGGCCAAGCCAGCCTTTCCCATAGCGCCTGGTGTTTCCGTGCTCCAGCCGTCGCTTCTGCTTTTCTCTTTGCCTAAATTCTCTTCTACCCTTTCCACCGGCGAACTCCTACTCATCCTTCAAGGCCCAAATCCAACAGATTCTCCTGGTCGTTTCCGCCCCCTGCCCCTTAGAGAAGGCAAAGCCTCCTTTCTCTGGACAGTCTCTCGGAACTCATCCGTCCACCACCTATTTGTTGAATGCGTGTCTGGCACCTTTCTGGGTGCTGGGGCTAGAGCACGACCTAGACCCGGTCCCTGGGCCCGAGGAGGGAGCCAGGCCCCCCCCTCCCCCAAGCTGCCACCCTGGCACGCAGCCTGGTGCTCTGTGTGTCCCCGAAGTAACAGAGAGGGATGGATCCCGGAGAAGCGTGGCAGGGCTGACCGCAATGGGCTGAGTCAGGCCAGCAACCCGGGAGTCTGCGGCAGCTCCAGGGCTGGCTTCCCCTGGACACGATGCCAGGCTCTCCTGGGTTCAGAGTAGGGAGTCCCTTGCTGCTCCCACCTCTGGGCAGTGAAGGGGTGCTCACTGCCTTCTGGACCCCCTGATCCCGGGGTGGGGGGTGCGATTTAGCAGATGGAGCTTAAATGTTCTCAAGGCCTAGCTCCCAGTCTTGACCCCTCAGCGGTGAGGCCCGGAGCCACTCGCCAGACCTCTGTCCCTTCCTTATCCGGAGGGCCTGGGGCCGCGTTCACCGAGGTGAGGGTCTGAGAGGCGCCTACAGCGGGTGGAATGTGCTGGCCGTTGGCCGGAGGGAAGCTGGCGGCTGGGACGCAGGCCCACGGCTGGCGGGGCAGGGGTGCGGTGGGGAGGGGCTCACCTCTCCAGGCCTCCGTCCTCTAGCTGCTGGAACTCAGAACTGGTCCAGGTGGAAAACTTCTCTAGGATGTAGGCAGCCAGGCCCGCGGGAGAGTCGTTCAGAGCGCAGCCTGGGGAGAGAAGCGAGGGTGACTCGGGGCTGCTGGCCATCAGGTCACGGGGTGCCACGGGCCCCCAGCACAGTGCCCAGGCTGAACACGGCTCTGCCCTAACTCTTGGGGTGTTCTGCATCCTGTTTATGAATCTTCACCTGAGAAAAGGGGGGAGCACTAGCCTCGCGGCTTCATAGGAGTCCACACTACCCGAGCAGCGCCCTGTGTTTGGGGATCCGTGGGAGAGATCTGTATGAATGCTGGTTCATAACAGGCGGGGTTTTGGGGTCACCTGGCTGGCTCACTAGGTGGAGCTTGCGACTCTCGATTTCGGGGTCCTGAGTTGGAGCCCCTTTTGGGTATAGAGATTACTCACATAAATAAATAAACTGAGGGGCGCCTGGGGGGCTTGGCTGGTTAAACATCCAACTTTGATCTCAGCTCAGGTCATGGTCTCAGGTTGGTGAATGTGAACCCTGCATCAGGCTCTGTGCTGACATTGAGGAGCCGGCTTGGGATTCTCTCTCTCTCTCCCTCTTTCTCTCTCTGCCCCTCCCACTCTCAAAAATAAACATTAAAAAATAAATAAACAAACTAAAAAACAAAAGGTGGGGTTGGGGTGCCTGGGTGGCTCAGTTGGTTAAGAGTCTGACTTGATTTCTGCTCAGGTCATGATCTCATGGCTCTGAGTTCAAGTCCCACATCAGGCTCTGTGCTGATGGTGCAGAGCCTGCTTAGGATTCTGTTACCCTCTCTCTGCCCCTCCCCTGCTGGCTCTCTCTCAAAATAAACAAATAAACATTTAAAAAGAAAAAGTGGAGTTTTGGTTTATATGCTCTGATCAGTGAAAAGTAAGAAGCAACCTAAAAGTCCAAAATAGGGGATCCGTTACAAGTAATATGACCCTCTCTGCACCCCCCACGGTCCTGGGGCTACCAGGCGCCCAGGCTTCCTGCTTCGTGCAGGCTCATAGAGTCCAGAGGTCAGGGGTCAAAGCCAGGGCACAGTGCATCAAGCCAAGCTGTCGTCTGGGAGCGTGATGGCCACACATGCAGTGTCTTCGGCAGAGAGACACAGCCTAAGAGTGAGCTAGGGGCCCTCTTGGAAGGTTTGCACCCCTAGAGCGCGGGTGCTGGGGGGGTGAGCCCCCCTTCCAGGGTGGGGCGCCTGGCTGGATGGTGTGAGCCCTGCTGTGGCCACGGCAGCCCGAGCACACACCCCTCCCCCGCTGTGGCCGCACAGCCCCAGCACATCCCTCCCCCGCCCCCCCCTTCGCCGTGGCCACACAGTCCCAGCACGTCCCTACTCCCCCATCCCCCGCGCTGCGCAGCCCGAGCACACGCTCACCCACAGTGTCGGGCTTAGTGCTCTGGATGTGCATGTAGCCGCTCTCCCGCATTGACTGGTAGAAAATCTTCTCCTTGATGGGGCACATCAGTTCCATATCCCTCTCGGTGTAGCCAAAAAGCCTCGGGCAATGCCGTGCCAGGAAGAGGGTCAGCATGCCACCATTTAGAAGGAAAGCCATGTTCAAGTGCAGGCCTTTCACGTGGCTGAGGGCAGAGAGCAGCTGATGAGGCTGGTGTCAGGGCCAGCAGGAGGCGGAGGAGGGTGTTGGGGCGGAGGGGGGGGGGAATACAGAGTTGCCAGAAAGTTCTGGTCGCTCCCAGGGCTCTGACGTTCCCCTCCTCTATCTGTCCCTCTCTGCTGGGGCACCTGGCCCAGAGTCACCACCCCTGCGTGATACCGAACAGAGAGAATCTCCATCAACCAGCTCCAGGTGCACCTGGGTGACAGGGACCCTCTGTCCTCTCCCCCTAGGCCCACAGACACCCCGCCCAGTGGCCCGTGGCAGGCAGATCGCATCGACCTACGCAGACGGCTACCTCGCCGGGGCCGTGCACCCTCACACTCACCTGGGCACCATCTGGGCCATGTTGGTGCAGATCAGGGCCCCCCAGTCCCCGCCCTGAATGTAGAATTCCTGGAAGCCCAGCCGTAGCATCAGTTTATAAAAGATCCTGGCGGTGACCACTGTGTTCAAGCCTGGTTCGAAGGGGAGGGAGAGCAGAGTCACAGAAAGTCCCTCCTTGGGTGCTCTTGGGCTCCTGTGAAATTCCTCACACACCCCTGTGCCTCCCTGCTGGGTGATAGCTCACAGGAGGAGAGGACAGTCATCCTGGGGCCCAATGGTGGTGTGGCCAGTGCCCAGCAGAGGGCGTGCCTGGCATCTGTGTGACAGGGAGGGACAGTGAGGGGACAGCCAAGCAGTGAGGGCACGATGGGCTCAGGCCGGCACCTATGGGACTTGGTCACAGGATGGCCCGGCTGTGGGGAGCTCCCGAGGGCACAAGGGTCCAGGCCCCGGGTGAGCCCTGGTCGCCAACACCACTCTGCCCACCGCTCACCCGCCGCAGCCCTCAGGGCCTGGGAACACCCCGGCAGCCCCCGTACCCTTTTTAGAGGCTGCCTCTGAGAAGCTGTAGCCGGGGATGGAAGGGCAGATGACCTCAAACACATGCTCATCACTCAGGCCGTGGTTGGTGGGGTCGGTCAGGAGGGGGATGATCTTATAGAACTCGTAGAAGGAGCCAGGCCAACCGTGCACCATCAGTAAGGGCTTCGGGGTGCAGCCGGACCGCGGCTGGGGGGGCTTCACGTGGACGAAGTGGATGTCCAGCCCTGGGGAGATGGAGCACAGTCAGGCGGGCAGGGGACAGGGCGCCCGCTCAGGCTCTGCACCCTCCGAGCTTGGGCAGCGTGTGCTGGTGCCCCCAGGGCCTCTCGGTGCCAACCGCAGTAACAGCCACCAACGCTGGCTGGTGCCTGCATGGGCCTCCAGCTGCACGGCGACCCTCCCGGCCTTCGCAGCTGCCCGGTGAGGCTCGGACGTGGCCAGGACCTCTTCCCATCTGCACATGAGCCCTGTGAGGGCTCCTCGCGCACCGCTGTTTCCAGAGCCCACGGCAGTTCCTGGCTCTTTGTGGAGCTCCACGAACACTGTGTAATGATTTCAAGATGGGGGGTGGGAGGGCGCCTGGGGGCTCAGTCGGTGGGGCGTTCGACTTCGACTCGGGTCACCATCTTGTGTTTCGTTGGTTCGAGCCCCCTGTCGGGCTCTGTGCTGACAGCTCCAAGCCTGGAGCTGCTTCAGATTCTGTGTCTCCCTCTCACTCTGCCCCTCCCCCTCTCACACTCTCTCTCTTAAGAATAAATAAATATTTAAAAAAATTTTTAATAAAAAATAAAAAAAGATAAAGATGGGTGTGGGGTGCCCAGCTGGCTCAGTGGGTAGAGCCTGCGACTCTTGATCTCAGAGTTATGAGTTCGAGCCCCATGCTGGGTGTAGAGATGACTTAAAAATAAAATCTTGGGGCGCCTGGGGGGCTTGGTTGGTTAAGTGTCCAACTTCGGCTCAAGTTGTGATCTCACAGTTTGTTCGTGAGTCCAAGCCCCGCATCGTGCTCTCTGCTATCAGTGCAGAACCTGCTTGGGATCCTCCATGTCCCTCTCTCTCCCCATCCCGTGCTCACGCTCTTTCTTTCTCAAAACAAATATATAAACTTAAAAAAAAGTTAAAATAAATCTTTAAAAAATAATAAATAAAAAATATATAGAATAGTATTTGCAAGTTCAACTCAAATGTTTAATCTAGAACTAGGTTTTTAAAGTTGTAACTTTAAGACTAATTTTAAGCATAAGCCAATTGTTGCTCTGCCTCTTGGGAGATTTGGATGTCTGCCGTCATGAGCCTTGCAAGAGGACCTAAGTCACGTACAAGCCCAAGTGCATGCAGGTCCTTGCGTGTCATTTCCATGGGCTGCGGGTCGGCTGCCTGGTGCCAGACTGCCTGACTTCCTCGTGTTGACTTGGGTCACTGTTGCCCCAGCTCCTCAAAGTTCATCTAGCAGATGCTGCTGGGGAACCTTCTGTAGCCAGGCATTCTGTGGGGGCTGGGGACACACAGCCCGAGAACAGGGTCCCTGCCTCCACTCAGGGGTGACGCCCATCATTACAGCACATGACAAGGGGTTCTGTTAGAGAGGAGGCTCTAGGAGTCCTGGGCGCCCATATGCTGCCTGGGAGCATGACGGAAGGCTTCCTGGAGGAGGTGGCGTCTAAGCTTAATGAATAGGAGCTTATCCCTCATGTGGAGAAGGTGGTCCGGGAGGAGGGAATAGCGAATAGCATGTTCAAACCGCAGAGGGGAGACATGTTAAAGGGCTATTCCCTTCCAGCGACCAGCATGACCCCTGGCTCACATCACAGCTGAAACACTGTAGGAGCTGCAAAGGGGGTGACTGACGTCACTGAGTCGTCTGGACAGCGGCCTGCTGTGGCTGCACCCAAGCGCCGCTCAGGCCCGTCTCCCCCCGCCGGCGGCCTGGCCCGGGCCCAGAGAACCTCCTGGCTCCCCGGCCTGGGTGGTCCAGGAGGGCCCCCTCTTCTCTGCTGCCCACGGTCTTCGACACTCACACTCCGGACCTTCTGGGGTCCTCTCTGCCCCTGCCCCCGGGCTCCGGCCTCTGGGGGTACAGGCAGGGCCTGCAGAGAGGACGGTGTCTCTGATCACAGGGAGGCTGAGCTTCGGGGCCCTCTTCCCTTCACCCGCAGCCTCTGTCCCGGCTGGGCGCTGGGCCAGGACGCCCCTACTCAAGCCCCCTCGCCCCCCGCCAGGCCTGGGCCCAGCTCTGCTCCTGGGTTCTGAGCCCGCAGCCTGGGCCTGGGGCACCTGGGGCTCCACAGACCTGCCGGGAAACAGGGATGGCTTCCTCTTTGGCTTTTAACGTCTTTCTTCATTTTTTAAAAAAGTGTATTTATTTATTTTTGAGAGAGAGCACGTGCAAGCAGGGGAGAGACAGAGACGAGAGAGAGAGAGAATCCCAAGCAGGCTCTGCGCTGACAGCGCAGAGCTGGACGCGGGGCTCAAACCCATAAACCACGAGATCATGACCTGAGCTGAAACCAAGAGTTGGACGCTCAACCCACTGAGCCACCCAGGTGCCCCTTCGTTTTTAAAATTCAAATATTTAGGGGCACCTGCGTGGCTCAGTGGGTTAAGTGTCCGACTTCGGCTCAGGTCATGATCTCATTGTTCGTGAGTCTGAGCCCCGCATCAGGCTCTGTGCTGACAGCTCAGAGCCTGGAGCTGCTTCAGATTCTGTGTCTCCCTCTCTCTGACCCTCCCCTGTTAGCACTCTGTCTCTCTCAAAAGTAAAATAAACATCAAAATAATTCAAATATTTAAAATTCAAAAAGGATACAAGGAAACAGTGAAAAGTCAGCCTCGGTCTCGGCCCGTCCCCCGCCAGCGGTCCCCTCCCCGGGGACAGCTTCCAGGGACCGCTGTGCACACGCCAGCGCGGGCGGGAATGCGTGGGTTTCCCCTTAACTTCACACTCAGAGAAAAGGCGACAATCTGAATCCTAAATGCCCGCGCGTCGGGCAGCGCGTTCCAGAGGAGGTAAGGTTTGCTACGAACAGGAAGGAGTACGTTCAGCAACGCAGAAGGACCCGCGGGAAACGCTGCTAAGTGGAAAAACACGGTTCCAAAATAGAATGTACGTAGGGTTCTATTTTTGCTCGGAGAAAGTTAGGATCTGTGAGCATTTTGTAAACCGTCTGCACCGTCTCAGCCCAGGGGAGCCTAGGGAGACATGAAAAGGAAGCGTAATGGGGTGTCTGGGACGGGGGCCCAGGGACGGAAACAGAACGTTAGGTAGACTGAGGAAATCTGAGCCATATTCCATTGGCTGTGGACGCTGTGTTAGTGTTTACAGCGAGGGAAATCCTGGCCTCGGTGACAACGGGTGAAGCTAGAGGACGTCATGCCAAGCGAAATAAGCCAGTCACAGGAGGACAGATGCTGTGTGACTGACTCCCGGGGTCCCAGTCGTGGAGCTCACGGGAGCTGGGGACACAGCGAGGTGCTCAGTCCCGGCACCAAGTCCCAGTTACCCCAGGTGAGCACCTTCTAGGTACCCGCTGTCCGCCAGGATCTCACACTTCCCTACTTGTGATGAGGGCGGCCTCGCGCTAAATGTTCTTACTACCATAGAATCTTAAAAATAAAGGTGTTTTTAAAACGAAGGGAGTCTGAATAAATTGTGGATGTTACTGGAGGTATTAACATATCAGTACTGGTTCATTTGTTGTGACAAATGTATCAGACTATACAGTTAATGGTAAAGGGGGGCTGGGAGCTGGGGAAGACAGGGAACTTCCTGGACCATCCTCACTATTTTTCTGTAGATTTGAAATTGTTCCAAGGGGCTGAGTGTCTGATTCTTGATTTCAGCTCAGGTCGTGATCTCACGGTTCATGGGTTTGAGCTCCACGTCAGGCTCCCCACTGAGCGCGGAGCCTGCTCGGGATTCTCTCTCTCCCTCGCTCTCTCCGCCCCTCCCCGGCTTGCTCTCTATCTCATTCTCCCAAAATAAGTAAACATTTTGCATAAATAAATAAATAAATAATTCTGGGGTTAAAATAAGCTTTTCCAACAGATGAATGGAACACAATCAAAATAAACCTAGACATATACAGCCAGCTAATCTTTGACAAGGGAGCCAAGAATGCTCTACGGAGAGAAGACAGTCTCTTCAATAAATGGTGGTGGTGTAACTGGATGGTCATATGGAAAAAGGTGAGACTAGACCCCTACCTCACACTACTCACAGAGATTAACTTGAAATGGATCAACGACTTAAATGTAAGACCTGAAACCATGAAACTTCCAGAAGGAAACAGACACAGAGCTCTCTGAGGCGAGTCTTGGTCACGGTCTCTTGGAGAGGACACACGCTGAAGCAACTAACGCAAAAATAGCCTCGGGGCTACACCCAGCGAAAAGGCTTCTGTGCAGCAAAGGGAAGCATCAACAAAGTGGGGAGACCCCCTGTGGGATGGGAGAAACTATGTGCAGACCATACCTTCGATCAGGGGTTAATCTCCAAAATACATAGAGAACTCACACGACTCAATAGAAGAAAAACAAATAACTCCATTAAAACAATGGGCAAAGGACCTGAATAGACACTTCTCCAAAGAAGGCACCCAACAGTCAGCAGACACATGAAAAGATGCTCGCCATCACTCATCATCAAGGAAATACGAATTAAAGCCACAATGAGATGTCATCTCACACTTGTTAGAAGGGCCATGATCAGAAAGACAAGGGGCGCCCTGCTCTCTCTCAAGATAAATAAATGAACTTAAAAAAAAAAAAAGACAAGAGATACCGAGTGTTGGCAAGGAGGCAGATAAAAGGGAACCCTCATGCACTGCTGCTTGGCGGGAATGCAAACTGGTGCAGACATTCTAGAAAACAGTATGGAGATTCCTCAAAGAATGAAAACTGAAATATGGCCCACTAATTCCGTTTCTGGGAATATATAAAAAAAAAAACAATGGGGGTTCCTGGGTGGCTCAGTCGGTTAAGTTTCTGACTCTTGATTTTGGCTCAGGTCATGACCTCGAGTTTCATGAGATCGAGCCCTGAGTCAGGCTCTGTGCCGACAGCATGGAGCCTGCTTGGGATGCTCTCTCTCTCTCTCAAAAAATAAAATAAATAAATAAACTTAAAAAAAAAAAAAAAAGAATGGGCGCCTGGTGGCTCAATCGGTTTAGTGTCCGACTTCGGCTCAGGTCATGATCTCATGGTTCGTGGGTTCAAGCCCCCCATCGGGCTCTGTGCTGACAGCTCAGAGCCTGGAGCCTGTTTCAGATTCTGTATCTCCCTCTCTCTCTGACCCTCCCCTGCTCACACTGTCTCTCTCTCTCTCAGAAATTAATAAAAAACGTTAAAAAAAAAAACGAGGAAGCCTATCATTTATGACAACATGGATGGACCTTGAAGGCAGTGAGCTAAGTGAAATAAAGCAGAGAAACAAGTACTGCGCGATCTCATTCAGATGTGGGATCTAAAGGAAAATGAAATCTGAAATCATAGAAGAGACCAGCAGTGAGGCTACCAGGGGAGGGGAGGGAGCTGGGGGAAGGAGGTCGGAAGGTTGGGACCCCAGGTCAAGGTGAGTGAGCTCCGGGGACGAATGTCCAGCCCAGTGACTGCAGTGGATGCCGCTGTGGGTACGCAGGGAAGTTAAGAGAAGTCCTGAGAGCCCAGAGCTGAGAGAAAGGGTTTTTCTCTCCTTGGATCGTATCTACAGGAGCCGCTGGTTGGGAGCTGAACCCCCCCCCCACCCCTGTGGCAGTCATTTCACAGCGACATCAATCACACCCTCTACCCCATGCCTCCAACTTCTATGGCAACGGCTGTCAGTTACTTCTAGGGAAATCTGGGGGGGAAATGCTTTTCCGCCAAGGAAACTATTCCCTCGCCCCAAACTATCTTGAGGTCACCTTGCCAAGCCAGTTTGGGGAGGTCCCTTCCCTCCCAGGTGATGCCGAGGGACAGGGTAGGACACGAGGTCCCGAGCCGCAGACAGGGGCAGTGTCATGGACTCTAAACCCTCGCAGGGGTGGAGCGGATGGTGCCCAGGCAGGCCCAGAGCCACTCTCCCTCCCCAAGGCTGTTCCATCACTGGACCAGAGTCTGCGTATCTCAGGCTGTCGAGTTACTGATGTGCTTTCTGGTCTCCGTCTAACGCCCCCTGGATTTGTGCGGACGCTGCATTCTCTTTGCCCAGTGAGGTCAGCCTGCAAATACACCCAAGGCCCAGGAATTGGATTCTGAGCTGGGCCTGCGTCCCACCCGGCATCTACGAAGGCGGCTCTGGAGACCTACAGCCCCCGCCAGCTGGTGTTCTGGAAACATACCTTCAATCTTGGTCTTGAAGTGAGGGTACCTGTTGAGAGTCTCCACCTGCTTCCTCCAGTCAAATTCGTTCCTCCAGTAGGAAAGGACTTTCTTCAGGTAGTTGGAGTTGAAGCCATAGTGGAAGCGGCTGTCCTCCAAAGGTGGGGTTAGGCGCGTCCCGTCCAGTCTCTGGTGTAAGTCCTGAGGCAAACGCGGGACCCCAGGGAGACAGTGTGGGTGGGGCAGAGCACAAAAGCAGGTTTGTTTCCAGAAGACGGAGCAAAGCCCGCGGCCACAAGACACTGGGACCGCAGAGGCAAAGCCGAGTCCCTCGGAGGGGGGTGGGGTCTGCTGGGCCGCACAGGTGCGCTCGGGGTTGTCTGGTTTTCCCTGGAAGGAACCTCGCTTCCCATGACCGTGGCTGTTCCCAAAGCCTATGTCCTTCACCCTTGACTTCACGCTTACGTCTCCTCTTTGGTCTTAAGCGCGCGAACGCTACGCGTCTTTAATGGATCTAGGCTCGCTGTGGGGGGGACCAGCAAACGTTTTTTAAGAGGCCAGACAGTATAAATATCTTAGGCCTCTTCTGGTGGCAGCTGGCCCACTCTGTCGTTGTGGTGTGGACGCAGCCATGGGCAAGATGTGGACGAGTGGCCATGGCCCTGTTCCAATAAAACTTTATTGGTAGACACTGATGTTTGAACGCTGTGTGACTTTCATGTGTCACGAGACATTGTTCTTTTTATGTTTTCAGCCCTTTTAAAGGTGTAAAAGCTATTCTTAACACAGGGGCTGTATAAACAGGGGACAGGATAGATCTGTCCCAGGGCTGCGGTTTGCGGATGCAGGTTACACGCTGTAACTCAGCTGGGCTGAGAGGAGGGACCAGGGCGAGCATCAGCCTAGACCAGCCCCGGGCTGGCGGGCGAGCATCAGGCAAGGGGTGTCCTGCCTAGCACCCGGGCTCCCAGGTTTTGGACGGACGTTCTAGACTCCGAGTCTGGGAACCCACGAAAGGTTTTGTCCTCAGCCTGGTTTCTCTTGGGTGCAGCCCAGTGTCTGCTCCGTGCTCCCTTCCCCCTCAGAACACTCACGACTTGGGCACTTCTGAAGTCACGTGCCCGTTAGTGTCTCAGTTACCATTTCTCCGTGCACATCCCTTCCTCCGCCATGGGACTAGGGGCTACTTGAGGGTGGGACCCTCTCTGCTCCGAACACCCAGCCCAGTGTCCACATGCACCACATGGCCAGACATGCACACAGTGGGTGGGGACGTCCGGGTTCCCCTCCTGGCCCAGCTACACACACACACACACACACACACACACACACACACACCCTGCACGTCCCAGCTGGCTCCAGCGTGCGGCTGGGGGCTAGGCTCTGGGGCGTGATGGACCCGACTCTAAACCCTGCCTATACCTCGGTCACCTTGGGTGAAAAGCTTCAATTGCTGCATGTGCAGAGGGATCGAGGGTCCCGCCTCCTACGGTGACTGAATGTGGCCTCCAGCAGCTGCCACACAGCAGGTGCATCGCCGATGCCATCCCTGCGGCAGCTTCTCTGGACCCCAGCTTCTGATGACACCATGGCCCTGCTTCTCACTCAGGACCCCGCCCAGGCCCTGATGATGACCTGCTCTCTTTCTCTTTCCCCAGCTAAACTCATTCACTTTGAGGAGAGTGCAAAGGAGGAGGAAGTGGCTGCTTTCTGACTCATGAGGCGCGTGCCCAGGGCCAGCTGGCACCCCCCCCAACCCGGGTGCTACTGGGCTTAGGGCAGGGGAAGGAGGAACAGAGGAGTGGGGTGGGCAGAGGGGACAGGGTGGGGACAGCGGGACGGGGTGGGGATGGGGGACAGAGGGGACGGGGTGGGGACGGGGTGACAGAGGGGATGGGGTGGGATGGGGGGTCAGCGGGGGTGGGGTGGGGACAAGGCAGGCTGGGCATGTCTCTCTGTAGCAACCCGCACCCAGCCGGTGGGAGCAGAGGGGAGGGAAGCCCACTCCCGGCCTCATGGGGAACACAGACGGGCCCCCGCCCTCCCCTCTGCCCAGCCCTGCCTGGAGAAGGCACCTTACCTTGATCTCCTCATCCGATGTCTCCACCTTGAAAGGGCGGATACTCTCGTCCTCTGGGGCTGTGGTCCGCGCCCCAGGGCCCCACCACCCGTCTTCAAGGGGCAGCGTCTCATTCTTGTCCCAAGAAACAAACCAGTAGACGACGAAGGCCAGCACGGAGGCGAGGATAATTTCCAGCCACATGATTCCTGGGAGAGCGCGGGGCGTCCGTCAGCCTCAGAGACCCCTGGGCTGGAGACCCCAATCCCCACCTCCTCTCCCACCCGGCCCTTGACTGTGTGTCCTTGTGACCTAAAAAAAGAGTATGAGCTCATGGAAGAAGCAGAAAACAGTAGGGAAAAGACAAGAGTCCTGGCGATCATACTGTGCTGTGAAATTCATTCACTGAATTGAGAAAATACCACCACAGGGTGGCTTCTCATGGCCCTGCATGGGGGGACTGCACTTCTGAGGCCTCTCGTTTCTCTGTGGGGCCTTCTGCTCGATACTTCTGGAAGCTTCTCTCCACCCTCGTGTGTGTACCCCACCCCCAGGGATGCTGGGCTCCGGAGGCTCTGCCTCTTGTTGTTTCTGGGAGGGGCCTGTCCTCTGTAGGGTCTCATCAAAGGCCAGGCTCGCTCGGTTTGGGCCAGGGGAGTGTCAGGGGCAGTGAACCTGGCCACAAGGCTCAGCCGTATTTTTTTTTTTTAATGTTTTATTTATTTCTAGGAGAGAGAGACACACAGCATGAGCAGGGGAGGGTCAGAGAGAGAGGGAGTCACAGACTCTGAAACAGGCTCCAGGCTCTGAGCT